CAGCAAGCCTGGCTCCGTTCAAAGCTAACAAAATTCACCAGACAACACCTCTAAAACCCTCTAATCAACACATTATATCTCATTCTGGTTCAAAAACTGTGTGTGTTCAATATTTTAGATCAGTTTATGTGGTGCATGTATGAAGACATACCAACTACAGTAAGTAAACACTCAACACGACAATATATCAGAATGGGTTAGCGTGTGTTTCAGGTTAATGCCAGCAGCGACTCCTCTGTCACCACAATGGGTGCTAAGGTTATACGTTTTCTAAACTGGAAGAACTGGCCCCAGCTTTGCATACATACTAGGAAACTGCACACTCCCAGTCTCCGTAAACTACCCACCAGTTCTGAGTATTTTACTGGGAAAGATTCCCACTGAGAAAAGCTCCCTGTTGCAGCATTAGAAAAGGGTGGAGACACTTTAAACACTCAAGCAGAGTAATATTTGTTGGACTGTTAATCCATGGTTACGGTTACTTTAACCATCCATCTTGTTGCTATGGTTACTTAGCAGCTTAACAAACCTTACACACTGGTTTGGAAGAGCAGTTAAACTGTTGGACCTCGTATAACCACATGAGTTGACCTACAGTGATGACATGCTGTTGTTAGATGGCGGTTTTAACCTCCGACGTACGGCACACAAACCTCTATGTAGATGAAGTGTTGGCTGTTCTCGATGACGTGGACGTAGGCGTTGTGGATGGACTCCTCGTCGGTATTGTTGATCCAGCGGACCGTCAGAGGCTGAGCGAAGATCTGAGGAAGAGCACGGACTGGGTTCATGAGTTTGGGACCTTTTCCTAAAGAAACCCGCGCCTTTTTGTGTTCTGTGCTTTTCCAAATAGAGTTGAGAGTAAGAAAAAATGTGAACAGCCCTATCTAGAGCAAGTAGTTGTGTTTGTACATTTATACTGTATACTGACATCTTTCTCATCTAACCAGTGAGAACACAATGCATTACTAAACCCCACTTTACACAGGCAGACGGTGGAGGTATAAGTGATGTCTAAAAGTAACCTGGAGAATTAAATAAACAAAAACCAAAGAAGTTTCAGTTGTGCCGTCGACTGAAGTGTTTATGGAAAGTGAAGTGGAGACTGGCACGTCACACTTATACAGTACCAACCTGCACTTTGGCGGGGATGCAGTTGGGGACTTGGTATCGCTGCTCTCCAGCAGTGGTGTGAGACTTGGGTAGCAGACACGGGTACGCCAGAGAACGGTACTTTGGCTTCACAAGCTGACAGACAAACAGAGAAAAAGAGTAAAACAGATTAACACAGCGAGCACTCCTGCAGCAACGTGGACAGCTCAGTCAGTCAGATCTAAGCCTCATCGGTTGAAGCGATACACAGCGAGATTCACGTTTTTCCAGATTGTGATTTGTAATGAGAGGTCTGAAAATAAAGACACAGCTGCTCCACAGATAAACAGATTATATCTTCAGTTGTTTCTTTCTTCTTCTATAAATCTAGTAGACGGTTATTTGAGGGAAGGAATGATCCAGGGATAAATGTTCTTTTTAGTTTCTTTTTCTACCCCAACTATGTCGATGATCATATTTTCCTCATGGACAGTAAAGTAACTTCTGCGAAATGTAACTGCTATTAGCTCGTTAGCTTAGCCGTATTTCCCTGGACGCTGGGGACTGGGAAGTTATAGGCATTTTCTCTAGAGGGGGGGCCAGAACAGTTTGATCGTGCTCAGTGACTCTTTAACAGATGCTCTTGGCACCGCGTTAATCCCTCACTCGGTATACTAGAACAACAGCAGCGTGACCTCTGACCTTGGTGAAGTTCCACCGCTGGATGAAGTGTCTCGCCACATCTCGAGCCGCTTTCCCATGAACCACTGAGGCGATGTCGTGCCAAGGCATTCTGGGAGTTGTGTGCCTGTCTATGAAATCTAAAACAACACCAAGCAGAAGCAGGAATTTGAGAAGGAGAGGGAATAAGTTGTTCCCCCGTTAGCGTAGATTGATGGCGTGCTCACCGTCGAATGGTTTGTCCAGTTGAATCCAGTCCTTGCGTACAAAGTTGCAGTAGTCTTTTCCGTGCCAAAACCGCGTGTTTCCGAACAACTCTCCAACCCCCGTATGTAGACTCCGCACTGAGCCGCTTCCTAAAACACACACATGAATGAATTATTTATCATCAGTGAATACAACCTTACAAATCCTTCCAAAGACCAGTCTTCACTGCGGCAACTTCTCCACGAACTTTAAAGATCCCGAAACCATTTCAACTACAGGTAGTCCAGGCTTGGCAGGCCTAGAGTGGGACCTGCTGATGGCCCAGGAACTATTAGTGTTGAGTTTCTAAGTTCTCAATGACCGATTAAACAAGTTTTGAGATGGTAATAACTTGTATGTAGCACCATTCTTCAGCTATCACAAAGAAGACCTGAGATGGGAATTTTTTTAAAACAACATTTGTGTAGATGAATTACTGAATAGTCTGAAAAAGAGTGAGATAATATATCGTTTTTTTAATCTGTTAATATGTTTAAAAGCCTAAAATGTAAAGAGATTTGCAGCCTTTGAGTAGCTTCTGTTGCATTTTTGTTTTCTTCAATAGAAATTCAATCTAAAGCTTTGGTCTTAATGGATACGTCTGGTGATATTCTGTGCGTGTTTTCCTTATTCAACAATCACACAAACCAAAACCAAGACTGAATGTATGCTACTAACAAGTAATGTGTGTGGTGTATTAAAACTCTCATATTATATTCTTACTTCCACAAAAAACTCACTGTAGCTTCACTTTGGACTCAATCCCCACATATCACCACGGTGCCTGCTGGCCCCAAATATTTCCACTATGAGCAGTCCAAATGTGGATTTAATCCGGCCGCTGAAAATAGTTTCCCCAAACATAATGCATTATTCTTACTATGTTTGACTGCTAAAAGCTCCAGTGTGTAACGATTTGGGGAGGGATCTATTGTCAGAATGGGAATAGTAACATTCATCATAGGGTATGTTTTTTATTTAGTGGTCTATCTTGGAAAATAAGAATCATTATGTTTTTTTAGCATGAGGACCTTTAAAAGATTTAAATTTCAGTAGGAACCAATTGGGGATTAGAGCTGAGAGCCACAGACAGGAAGTCAGGAAGTATTGAGAGACGAACCAACACATTTGGTCTTTTCGTGAGATTCAATGACAATAACAAAGACGTAAAATAACACCAGACTTTATACTTTATGCCCCAACATTGTGATGTGAGTTTAAGACGGAGGCTGTGAGTGAAGTATCTCCACTGTGGTCTAATCTGTTTACAGTACACCGGAGTACCATGCTGACTCTGACAGTGAAGCACTGGTGTTTGGAGAATGCGCTGACAGCACTTTTACAGACATTAAACAGCAGCTGGAAGGAAGACTTCTAAAATCTACTACTTACAAGTAGCAGAGAGGAGTACAGAGGCAAGCACCAAAACACATATTAATTATAATACTTACCTGAACTGTAACATACTGAAAAGAACTACATTTATAGTAGTGGCTGTTTGCCTCACGTTTATCTCTCACACTTCCCATCCATCACCTGAGCAGGATAAACAGAGAGGAGCCTGGCAAACAAACAGCCGCTTTCCTCCGGCTAATAAAAACCAACGCCGTCTGTTTTACTGCAGAAACGAGTCATGTGTGCCGGGAGAGAAATATGAGTGATTACAGGCTGCAGTATTTCATCAAATATAACCACAGCCTACTGTTTGATGTGTGTGCAAGACTGCCTAAAAAAAGAGAAGGATTGGCCACATGTTGCAGTGTTTTACTTGTTTCCATGTGATCAA